CCTGACAGAAAGACTAGGATGACTAGAGGGACTTGGATGACCTCAGAAATTTTTTTAAAATAAACATTTCAATAGTTTTCTTTTTTTACATCATAAAAAATAAATATTGTTAATCGTAAATATAAGATATAACTTGTAATAATATATATTAACATAAAAAATGTTGGGATTTAAAACTAAACCTTAAAACTTTTTCTCTGTTTAACGATATAAGAAAGGACCATCCCACCTTGGCTGACGGGGCACCTAAATGCTTTTTCAATGACAAAATGACGTCGCTTTGGTTTTTAAACTTTAAATGTACTCAAAACATAGAGCTCGTCTACGAGTGGACAATGGCATGCATATGGCAAGCAAAGCATCACTGCTTAACCTTGACCAGGGTATTAGCTTATTTTGAGATATATCTTGGTTCAGGTCAATGTTCAGAACTTTGCGCATACAGGCTGCCCCTATTAAAAACTTGCCTACGTATCTAGGAAGGGTTAGATACGTCTTCGAAGGAGTCGTGACCGAAAGCCCAGCCCCATATGGGCGGAGCTTGATGGCAACTGCAAAATTCAAATCTATTTAATTTATTTAAAAAAAAAGATTTTACACTCGGCCAATGTGCTGTTTGACTTTTTCGAACAAGAGCAACTGTTTTTAAGAGGATATGGAAACACAATTGTTGTGATTTTAATGTTCAATGCCCAGCAAGGTTGGATGCCGCATTAATGTTGTGGATTTCTATTCTATTCGATTCCCAGTCAGCTGGGAATTTGTATTTCTGATACTTATTATAAATAATAATAATATCTTATCTTAATCAGATATTAGTTCGGCTGTTATATACTGTTTCTGAACACACGCCTTACTAGCTTTGTGTTAGAACAATAGATGAAAGAGTGATTCAAGCTCTAATCATGGTCAAACAGTTAATTCTGCACATACATGGAATAAATTACCACAACTTCTGTTCAAAATATAAGAGTTTATTAACAAAAATCATTCAGCTCCAAGTCAATCATATTTCCGTTTAACACTCTTAACTAAAAACTAGAGAAACTCGACTAAACTAAACTACTATGTACAAAGAGGAAGGGAAACATGGTTGAAAACCATATTACAGTTGAAGTTGGATTGTGTGTTTGAAAACCAAAGTTTATCTGGAAGAATTTGGGATATGATCAAATTAGCTTTTCACTAATCTAAATCTGACAAATCTGTTCTGGATTAGCAAAGATTTACACGACTGATCAGCTGCTGATTGTGCTGCTGGCGTCCTGAACACAAACATTCATCAACACTTCGGTCCGTTACTGATCTGTGGTCCATGCTAGCTGTGCGTAACCGAAACGTATGACGCTGTGGTTAATTTACTCAAATGGATGGAAACACGTCTAATTCACGTTTTTGTTTGACACTTGGGTGGAAACACAGCCACTGTCTCTTATTTTGCCAACAGGGGGTCCTCAAACAGAAGTTAGTGATATTTGGGGGACAGGAAGTGAAGCATGGAGGAGTTGGGAAACGTCTGACTTACTGAACTCAATACTTGAAAACGTGCTTCTAAAGTGGAAGAGAAATTTGAACCGTTGTTTTTCTTAAATAAACTTAAGTTACAGATTAGTTTGGAAACTACTTAGAATTCAGTGACGTGGTGCTTAAGAACGATACAGTTAAAGTATAAAAAAAGTAAAAGTAATGTAAAGTAAAAGTCAACTTGATTCATCTGTTGAAGATTTTGGTAATTTCATAAATAAATAAAAAACCATGGCCTAAAATTTAACAATTTTATTCCTGCTTAGGCTGTTAAATATATTTTGACAAATTAAAAGCAAGAAAATATCAAAGAGGATGTGAAGAAGCTGTGACACTTTTGTACTAAAGTCCATAAAGAAAACCTGAAAGCAGTTGCTAATGAATTAGGAGATGCCCAATTGTCTTAGAGTCACTGAAAAGTGTCGGTATCATGTGATGAAAACATTCCTCTGCTCCTTGTCAGAGCTTTGTTCCTCTTTGCGGCTTTAGTGGACACAACATTTCCACTAAATGCGTTTGAGTAGAGCTGATGATGAAACAGGGAAAAAGCAGAATAAAAGTCTCCATCAGACGCAAAAACAAGCTGACCCTTTGAAATTATTAACATGATTCAGAGCTGACTCATCGGTCGCAGATGCATTTGGAGGAGAAAGTCTGCAGGTATGTTGTGCTGCACTTATGCTGAGTAAGCGCAGCCTCTTGATCCGATATTACATCAAGTGCTGTCCTTTCTGTGATCGACCATAAACTAGTACTAACGCCCACACACACTTTATCTCCAGGTTTGTGTTTGTTGCCTGAAGTAACAAACTCTTCCATATACATGTTTTGGAGTTACAAAAAAAAAAAAAAACTGTTCCCCTTTATATGTAATGTAGATCCCTTTCTGGTCCCACAATGGGAAAATTCGTTCTCTTTATTTTGACCCATCCCCTTAAGGAGCAGCCTGATTTTAAGCTATACATAATGTGATACTTGAATTATAAAAGAGGGAAATTAAGAATAGCGTAAGGGAAAGAAAATGGATATTTGTTAAGTTGTCATATCAAACTGCTTCTTAGCAGATGTGTCCAATAGAAGGTGATACATTTTAAAAGTCGTAGGGAAGCGGCTGTTCCGACTGTTGCATTTCCAAATTCTCCTGAGTGGTGCCCGATTTTACACGAGTGAATAAAGTGAATGTGATTGGTCGCTTATCAGGGGGGCGGGATTGTTATGGCGGAAGGTTCGTAAGCAAGTTTGGTTGTGGCCGGTTTGTCGGAAGCATCTTGCTAACCAGTTAGCAACTTAGTGCTAGTAGGTTTCGCATGGGAAATTCCATTGGGACCAAGTAGAACTAAATTGGTGAGTTAGAAACGACACTGTCAAGGAACGCTATGGACAGCGGAAACATGCAAGAGGAGGAGAATTTGTGTTGGAGGTCGTAGATGAGTGTCCTGCGTCATCCTTTTTTATCTAGAGTAGGAAATTGGGGAACAAAGATGTTGTGGAAGAGGACGCCAGGGCGGCAGAAGCTTGGTTTGGTGTAGAAGCCTTACAGCCGTACATGTTTGAGGCCTTGCCTCACAACGCTGCCAGTTCTGTTAGCTCTACGCCTGCTGAAGACACAGACGTCCATCCCTGTGAAGACTGGGACGGAACTCAGTGGGAAAGAAAATTATTCTTATTTCAACTGTTGCGTATATTAGCTGCGACATATGAATCAAGATGCTATGACCGAAAAAAATTTGATTGACAGATGACCGTTGATATATGATTGGCCGAATTTAGGTGTACAAGCTGACGTAAAACTAACTGGCATGCATAAGATAATTAAAAGAAAATCACATATTTTAAGACAGGACTTTTTTTAAATAGAAATTTTCTAAATTTTGGGACACTATATTCTGATAAAGAGTACATTTATATACATATTTAAGCCAGAACGCTTTGACATTTAAATAAGACTTCCCTACGACTTTAAATAAACAAGGCATGTAGGAGGCACAGGATGCAAAGAGTTTCTAGTAAGTTTAACTGTCTGACATAAAAAATGCTTTTTTAATAGATTTTTACACTGCCTTACTTTTATTTTTTTATCATGCAGTTAATTTGAGATGAAACACAGCTTTGTTCCCAGTACCTATGTTACACACAGGAAGACTGTTGATGGCGAGCAGCTTCCTACCTCCATTTCCTGTGTAAGTACTGATTGTTTTCTGTCCAATGGTTTAGAGGTGCTTTTGTTAGCATTTCCATGAATCACAAAGACGCCTTAGAGAGAATGTTGCTCCTCTAGCCTTTATATTTCATTTGTGGAACCAGCTAATATGAATCTGAACTAAATAAAGACAATTGAGGAGTGAAACGGAGGTAAGATAGTAACTTCTCATACTGTATTGATAAATTCTAATTTCTAAATTTCTAAATGATCCACTTAAGAGGCAACAATGAACAGCTACCAAGTATATACAACTCTGTTTTAAAACTTATTGTAAAATTACATAAGCTGTTTAAATAATGATTCAGATGGATAAGTGCGAAACTTCGACCAAATGACCCAGTGACTGACTTTGAATGTGCCAAGGAGGCTGGACATCAAAGTGCTTAAAAGCATTGGTGATCCAATTACAGGTTGCTCTAGGGCGGCTGATAAAAACTCCTGCTTAGAAGTCCAAACATTTACACAAATGACTGCGGGCTTCCAATTTAAGGCTGTTCTGTGGTCGCCATGACCCGGATCACTGAGAATTTGCATGGTCATCCCGAAAGCGTTTTGAGCTTCAAAAAGTCAGCTTTGTTGATGCTCTGGATGTTTCCCCCTCTACAGGCATTAAGATAGCTGAACTGCTCTTTTGTTTTCATTTGCCTGTTTCTCGTACAACGCGATCTAAAGATTGACTTGGGTTTATTTGCTGTGATGAGTGGGAACAAAAGTAGTTTCAACATGTTTTTGTGTCAAAACATCCTCTGTGCAGTCAGTTCAACAAGATTATGATCCTACTTTTAAATAATCTGTTCTTGTTTGGCACGGCAGACCCCCCCCTGCGGCGGAGTTGTTAAATGATAGGATGTTGGGGAACCCCTTGAATAATGCTATCTGTCATAGACTTTGTATGAAAACCAGAAACCATGAAGCAAAAGGTATTCAGAGCGACACACCGTAAGACAATAAAAAAGAGCTATGGATGCACAATACATCTGTACTAACATCAGTATCAACAGATATTGGTCTTATTAAACAAATCAGCATCTATTAACCTGCAAGTATAACTGGTATTATCAACAACTGATGTTTATTTAATCTAATTGGTGTTTTTATGTTTCGGGGGAGGTGGAAAAAATTATGCACTGAACTGTTTTATTTTCTTATAAGGACTGCACTTCTGAACAAAGTTCATGGAAAACTTATCAAAGCTTCTCTTTCATTGTTTGATATACTGAAGAGCTACTGCTGGTGTAGAAAACAAAAAACATAAAAAACAAGAGGTACTTACAGGATCAGGAGGCCAACAAAACTCCCTGAAAGACTTCTGTACATCTGTGCCATGGATCTCTAAGGCCATGCAGGGTCCAGAGCACAGCTCAGTCACCATACTCTGCAAACCCATTTAAACATGTAACAATAAACACGGCTGCATCTCAGGAAATACGCGTAACAGCTACGGCTCATCTCCTGCGGCTCAAACTAAGCTTTTCCTCTTCCTTTGTTTAGCTATAATCAAATGTAACGAGTCATAGAAATGGTATCTCCATGATGGCACAACATGTTTATACTTACAGGATATTCTTTGACGACGCCTTTGTAAACCTCGTAGAATTCCTCAGCATTTGGCCGGTCCAGATTAAACTGTCAGAAAATATATAAAAAAACAGAGAGAGAGAGAAAAGTAGGCTAAATGTCGACTGGAATTTAGAGACTTAATAGAAGAAAGGCAGGATTAGGCATATATAGGATATCCATTAATCAGATATAAATGCTTCACTATAAAGGGTGACAGTGGCTTTGTTATAACCTGAATAAAAAATATTCCGTTTAAAGAATCCTCATAAAGATCAGGGTTTGAAATCATGGATACTTTGCAGATATTTTATCATATCATATTTTTGCTAATGCACCATCATATGGTCATTAAGGCCAATCACAGAATGCCAGAACAAACTCTTACTTACAATTCCTTGCTAAACTCTTTCAACTTCTTGAAATTCTTGACACTGCAAACAATCTAACTCTAGATAAGTCATCTTTTCCTAAAATAAGTGCATTTGCTCTTGAATTGAGGAGATAAAAGATACACTTTGCTAATGGAACAAGAGAATTTAGATTAAAATAAGAAAACACAACTGCATTGTCTTATTTCAAGTGCATTTTATCTAATCATCTTATTTTAAGAGTAAAAATACTCATTCCATTGGCAAATTGTGTCATTTACCTATTCAGATCAATGGTAAATGCACTTAATTTAAGACATTTTTACTTATTTCTAGATCGTTTTTCCAGTGAGGATTGCATTTGATAGAAAAACAAAGACTTGTGAATGATTTGTACAAATAGCACATTATGTTCCTTTTATTCTTGATTGGTTGTGTTGAAGAACCACCTTTTAGTACAACTGCAGTTGCACGTACTTTAGGTGGAGCGTCTGGTGACTGAAAGCTATTTTCTTTTTGTTAAATAGCTCAGATGTGACCATTTTGACATCAGTATGCTTTGATCTAAATATTGTGGCTCTGGTTTATGTTTAGAGGTTTCATCAGGACGGCTGGATGTATCTTGACATTAAAGGACACCCAGGACTCTCCAAACTAACTGCAGATCTGAGGGTTTTTGGTTGTGCTGGATTTCATTCAGGGGTATCAGAGTAAAGGGGCTACAAATGAATGCAGAGGGATATGAAACAGAATACTTTTGTTTTCAACGTTACCATTTCAAGAGCAGAGATTTCAAAACCAGCTGCAGATATGGAGTTTAGGATCTTCCCAGTTAGACCTGTGAACAGATGACAGACATCCATCAACTTCAATAAACCTTTCAACATGTTAATGCTGATTTAAACACTTCTGTTTGTTCTCCAACAATCTCAAACTGGTCATTCAACTTAAAAGAAAGAAAATAGCATGATTTGGTAAAGCGACATTTTCAGTCAGAACTTTACATGTACTCATGACTGGAATGTATTTCATATTCATTTCAGGTTTTGATTACAGATTTGAATAACTGCTTCTTTTTTTCCCCAAATGGAAGAAATACTATTATACCTAATTAATAAATTTCTTATCAACATGGACTATATCAAATTTGATTTGTTGCTCCTCCAGATCAGATGAAACAAAGATCAAGTTACTCAGGCACAACGATAAAGGGAAAGTTAGAGAAGATCACTACATCCCCGTCAAGCATGGTGGAGGCTGCAGCATGCTGAGGGTCTGTTTAGCTAACAGTCATCCTGGTGCGATTGCATGAAAAAGGAGGACTGCCATAAAACTTTAACTGTCTTAAATCATCAGTTAATGAATTGAAACTTTAATAGAGTTTTGTTTCTCAGCAAAATTATGACAAATGTGCATTAATCCTCTTTTGAATAGAGAAAGTTAGACAACATTGACTCTCTTATCATAAAACCAACTCATTGAAATCAGCTAACACTGATGATAGAAAGAGAAGTGAAATTTTATCAATATTTTACATATAGATATATTAGTAGGGAGTTTATTTATAATGAAACCTGTTGGATTAGAAAATTAAAAACTAAACTGAAATTAAACTCCTTGCTGGGAGAGATTGAATAAAACTAAGAAAAGTCGATGATGATTGTAGGAAGAGCTCTGACCGGAGCTGCAGTGACCTCAGTTTCTCCTTCAGACGACGGCTTTCCATCGTACAGGGAAACAAAACATGTTTTCTGTCCAGTCAACCCTTCCCACACTGAGACGCTGAGCTGCCTGCTAAGTCACTGTGGCTGTCCATTAATGTACAAACGCTGCAGCTGTGGAGGTAAACATACATCTGTGGCACTCAAGGTCAGACTGTTGCATTTAAACGAAGGCGCCCGTCTCATAATCTCAGTCTGACATCCTGATAAAAAGTAGCCTGTGTACTCATCCGACAAGACCGCTCCCATTAACCCTGAAAGCTGCAAAGTCGTGACTTTCATTCTGGACCAGGTGCTGCAGCAGGCAAGGCATCGATACAATTTTGTCTGGTTCTGTCACAACCCAGATATGAGCTTTAGGTAATATAGCCCCCCTCCTGTCCCGTTTGTCCTCCCCAGGCAGCAGCCTGCCCAGGATCAACGCGGCTCTCTGAAGCAGCTGCTGCTGTTGCTAGGAGATCCCATTCCCGGTGCGTGGCAACTGAAGCTTCTCTATTCCGGTCATGTCTGGGTGCATTTTCTGTCACAAGTTCCTTCATGGCTGCTGCTATGAGAGGAGCAAGTTATGTAGGCGTAGTTGGAACCTAAACTGGGTACTACGGCGATTCTACAGGGATATCACGCATATATTTAGGTTCTATTTGCTCTTTCATCCAAAAATATCACAACTCTGGAGGTAAAGCAGTTCGACTTGTTTTAAACACTAAAAAATCCACCTGTATAGGTATTTCAACACATTTCTATTAACAAGCAATTTTCCATGTTAATAAATTGACAGATCAATATAGGGCGTTGCTTTGCTGGGAGTGTGAACAGAACAGGAGGAGTAGTTGTTTGAGGCAGGGAGAGCACACCTGCTTCCACGTAAACATCGCTGCTCACTTCGTATTATGTCATCAAGCCCCTCCTGCATGCTGAACCGCAGGGAGGATGGGGAAAGTTTAAGGTTACCACTGTGACATTGTGGGATTTTAAAATACAACCAAACAAAATGTGTTAAGCTACAATGCATTTAATGTGAACTAAGAACTCGTCAAATGAGGAGAAGGTGAATAAAACATGTCTAAGACTAAAATTAATCACTGTCATCAAAATGAACACAGAAGCGACACAGAAGCCACCTTCTGACAAACATTTGACTTTAAAAAGCCAACATCCCTGTCTCTTGTTTAGTGCCTTGGAAAAACTTTCTCCCATGTAACATTTAAACCACAAATCTGAATGGAATTTGTTCAATTTTATGGGATAAAGCAAACAGAAAAAAGTTGTGATTATTGTGAAGTGAAACCTAGATTTTAAAATCTGGGAAGTGTTACTTGAAATTCCATTGAGTCAACACTTTCTACACAGGACAAGCAATCTAGAAATAAGTAAAAATTTCTTAAATTAAGTGTATTTACTCTTAATTTCAGTAGGTAAATGAGACAGATTGCCAATGGGATGAGTATTTCTACTCTTAAAATAAGATAATTAGATAACATGTACTTGAAATAGGACAATACAATTGTTTATTCTTATTTTAAAAGTAAACTGTCTTGTTTCATTGGCAAAATGTCTCTTTTACCCCCTCAAGCTAAGAATAAATGTACCTATTTTAAGAAAAAACTACTTATGTAGATTTCAATTTTTTCCAGTGCAGAACCGCTTACAGCCTTCTGTCATCTGGGATGTGACTCTACCAGCTTTACACATTCATCTGTTCAAAACAGCTTAAGCTAAACCACACTGGATGGAGAAATCATCTGTAAGCGGCACTGATCGAGTCTGGCTCTAGATTCACAGCTGGATGTGTGCTCTTACTTTGACTGGGCCGGTTTCATGCTTTGATTTAATTGCAGCTCTGGCAGGATGTTAAAGGTCACCATTCTGCTGAATGCTAAGTCTGCAACCCAGTCTAATTTTTTTCGCTCTAACAGAATTGTTATGTAATAACATCCATCCATTTACCAATTAACTCTTTTTAGCTTAGTTTTATTATTTTGCCCAACGCCTCTTTCTTTTATCTGCTGTGTATATTTTTCTGGACAACTTGAAGAGGAACTTCTGCCTTCTTCCAGCAGTGGTTTTGCCTTATGCAACTAAAACCCAGATTTGTTCATAAACTTATGATGTTGTTTTTCTCTAATGTTCTCTAACAAACCTTCACATCATGGCAGGATTTCTACTAAAATTAAACCACACGCAGGTGGATTCTACTTAAAAAAGAAAATCATCCATTTTGTTCTCCCCACTTCACAGTAATAACTTTGTCTAAGTTGGATTAAAACCTTAACTCCCAGTAATAGAAAGGAAGAGCATGGAAATGTTGGACGGATATTAAGGCTTTTCAAAGGTGGTGTAAATGATTAACACCATTAATCACTATAAGATAATTTATCAGTGAGTTGATTGCAAGCTTAACTCTTGCTCAATGTGGCCTCTGAGACAAACATAGTCCATGGCTTAAACATGTTCTTTCATTGCCTCCTCCAATGCTTTTAATGCATCTTCACATGTCCTAGCAGGACCGGCACATGCATCTGCTGAGGTTCCATCAGGGGTGGCTTTGTGCCATTCAGGCGTGTTGAAAGTGGCACGCACAGAACCAGGATCCTGCTAACGCCTTTTAGTGAACAGGTTTCCTCAGGAAGAGTTTTGCTCAACCCAAGGTGGGGCTTGGCTAAAAATGCCACTAAGAGATAAATAAATAAATAAGATGTAGATTTACATTATGCCAGCTCATTACAGCGTATGTGGAAAAAAGAGGTTGTTAAACAATGTCAGAGTTAAACAACATTCTCTATAAAAGCAGAAGATAAGAAAAAAAACCTGAACAAATGATCAATAAGGGACTGCACCTTAGAGGTAACATTTTTATGCAACCATATAATAAACACAGTCGGTGCAGGATAAAAAAAAAATGTTTTTGTGTTCCTAATTCAGCCGTGTCCGGAGAATTTCCCATTTCACAGTTCAGAGCTCTGGTGGCATGCTCCATAAACAGGGATCAAGCCCTGGGATTAGGATAAACCCTGGCTCGGTTTTGGTAACCACGTCGTGTCTTTGTGTGGCTCAAAACTTTAAACAACAATAGCTGAATGGAGGCAGGGGGTTATAGGTAATAGAGGGCAGCTACATCAGAAAAAGTGGACGTATTTGCAAACTACTGAGGGAAAATCCTGCAGCCATAGTCAGGAATTTGTGTCCAATCATCAACAGCATGGATTTCACAATAAGTTTTCCCCTCTGCCAAGGTCAGAGCATGCATAGCTCACACAAACTGTAGCACGACCTTTGAGCCTTAGTTAAGATGTTAAATGTTAATGAAACACTTTATACTCTTTAAAAACTCGAGTATACTACTGTATGATAAAGTGTTCTAAGGTCAAACGTGAGGCCATGACAGCTGAAGCTTGGCCAACACTGGATCAACCTGCAGGATACTGACCTTAAGCAGAGCAGTAATTATCCAGAATAATAAAATAGTGGTTTATATGAGTTTTATTTTCACCATGACTGTTTTAAAACAACTTATATATGATGGCCTGACCTTCTGATATGGCATGAGGCTTGATGATGCAACACGTGCAGTCTGTGAAGATGGCTGTATTAGACGGACCGTGGCCGATGGCGGAAGGGAAAAAGAATTCAAGCTCCTGATAAAACAGACAGATGGCCGCAGCTTTAGTAGGAGGGTGTCAGTATTTCTGGGGGGCTACAAAAGGCTAATGTGATTTTAGCAAGGTGTTCTCACTCTTGCTGCAGCGGCGAGTGACTCAGAGCCGTGGCAGACGTTTCTGACGGCGTCCGTTCCGAACTGGGCGCGGACGCTCTGCTGGGCTTCCTTTCGTGCCACGGCGGGATCTGTGGGTCCCAGGAGCTTCTTCCAGGTAGACACGGCCTCGTCACCCATCAGCTCCATGGTGACCACGGGCTCAGAGGACACAAACTGCACCAGTTGGCTGCAAAAATGGAGCCAAGCTGAATTTAACAGATTTAAAAAGAAAGGTGGCAGTAAATATGCTGTAATGTCACCAATGTCATTAGGGTCATTATCACCAGCTCTGCCCAGAGCCTGCAAATCATTGACATGAGCACTCACTTGAAGAAAGGCTTTGACTGATGTTCCGCATAAAAGTCTGCCGCTTGGCTCCTGCAATGTGACAAAACCATAAACCAAAGTTAATCTGTGACCAAGCGATCTTGGACCTTTAAAGTGAACTCTGCGTACAAGATTAGAGTCATTAAGAGTGGTCAGAGATCATTTCAAACTAGTCCCTTATCTCTCGGGGAAATACAACACTTTAAGACAGCAAGTGAAATGGCATTTTACTAACAAGGTCATTATTTTACACTTTTAGTTTTAAAAACAGAATAGTTTTTTTCCACTTTGCCAACATGCATTTATTGCTGGCAGTTCAAAGAGACCCTTTGAATCAGTGACCTACCTTCAGTTAAATTTCAAACTAAAAGAAATCCTAAATTATTAAGCTTTGTCCTTTAAACCCATTTATTCTATAGCAACACAATCCTTTGGAAACCAGATGTTCCCATACGCCTTATTTAAAAAGAATGACTTTTTTTACCCTAGCTATTTGACATTGGGTGATTTAAACTGTCAGTAAGGGTTTCCACTATTTGCATTTATTACTTTCTTCTACTTAAATTCTTAAAACTTTATGACAGCTTAGACAATCATGTTGCTTCTTAAATACATAAAGTCAAAATATGTATTTATATTATAGTAATTTATACGTATATATTAGTTCAGCGGCATAAAAGACAAGTCAATAAAAAATAATATATACCAAATTTGATGAAGAGAAAAGCTTAACCATGGTAGCACGTTTGTCTGATTAAACATTCATATGCTAGCCCAAGGACACAGGTTATGTGTAAAGCAGAAGGACTGTGAATATCCTTGCTAAAGAAGCTAAGAGAGTCTCCTGATGCAGTGAAAGGAATCCTGTCCAGACAGACAAAAGGTCGTTGATTTAAGAGGTCATTCCTTTAAATACAAAGATAATGTAAAACTCTGATTGAAAATCAAAAAAGAAATCCTGCAAATTTTGATTGAATTAGAACAGAAAAGTTAAGTATAATGAAATGTCAGACAATAGAAAATAAAGGTTATGTGTTATTTTACATGTACGGTATTCATTTATTTAGTCCTCAGGGTCGAATACCTCTAGCAGTGTGGTAAAGATCTGGGATTTCTCCAAAAATAATAGCAACTAAACTTTTACAAATTAAGGCGAAGATTAGTGATGGGCAGTAAAACTAATTCCACAGATATCAAAGTATTTATCCAAGCAGCGTTTTATTAATTTCATACTTTTCTGATAGAGCACCATTATAATGCCGTCTTATCCTTCTGACTGCCCTCCCAGTTTTCATGGATTGCCAAAACTCCCAGATAAAACAAAGCAGCAATTAATCAGAGAGATAAGAGATAGGTCAAAGGTGACTGAACGAGGTGCTAACTCAGCTCCTACTATGACTCTCTGTCCTCAGAACCACTTTAAAACATTCATTAGGCATTTTAAGCACCAATAGTGTTTCTAGAATTAATTTGGAAAAGGCTGAAAGATTTATTTTAAGAGTTATTTTGAGGAGACACTGTGATCTCTGCTCTTATTCAGACAGAAAAAGTTGAGTTGAATCCAAATTGTCATGCTGAAAGTGACACAGAAAACTTTCTGTTTTATTCTTGAACGCTTCCAGCCACTCTGGGTTCAAAGTTACGGATCTACTCTCTCTGGGTATGCATGCTCAGACTGCATTAGTAACCAAACCAGTGCTAACTATGCTATTTACCAACACGAGATGCTAAAAGGAATCGGAACATTTGGCTCTATAAACATTTTATCTTGGTTTTAAAGAAACAGTAAACACATCTTTTCAGTACGACAGCTCCTCTGTTTTATGCGCCCTAAAACGCATCAGCTATTCTAAAATAAATAGAAAAGACTAAGAACAAAGTTTTAAAATACTGTTCTCATAAAGTTTTATTTGAGAACAGAGGTAAGTGAATGTTTACACTATTTCCTCTCATTTATTTAGAATTTATGACGTAGCAACAGAAACATAAGGGATTTCACTCTAAGAGGAATATCATGCCAGACATCCAAAGACTCTAAAACCAAGATGGAGGACCCTGCGTTCAACGTCCTCTAAGAACCAAAGAAAGGGGAATGATCCTGGCGGGGGGCAATTAGAAGAAGCGAGTAAGCTATTTTAAGCTATCCTTATCGCCCTGCTTGAGGTCAAAACTAATTTGATAATCATTAAACCATGGCTGATAAAAGAGTTAACAGATCTAAGCCCTTTTGCAGGTTATACACCCGCTTAGTTGAAGCAAGTAGAGTCATTCTTCTGTTGAAGGGAAGAAGCTGCCTGCTAACAGCCCTGGTAAATTTCCTCGCCAGTCAGTGGCAAGATGACCTTACCATGTAAGCTTGGTCATTTTGGCTTTGGTCACTATCAGGTTGGAGGAGTAAATCAGCTCAAAGATATCGCCTATCTTTTTAACCACATCTGGCTTTATCAGTGCAAGAGTCCTGGAACAAAGAAAGACAAAAAATATATTAGATCTTGCAGCAGAAGGGCAATAATTCATTTTCACTTATTCATATTGGACCAATTTACACCAAAAAACATCTAATAGCACCTTTAGAAGACAGATTTAAAGTCATCCACCTATTGTCCATATCTCCAGGTCTCCAGTCCATCAAAAGGACATGTATTCTGATGATGAAGAGCATTTCATTGGAACCAATTAACCTAACAGTTATGTTTTGATCTGTACCCGCAGAGAATCCTGACATGCGTGAGCAGAACAGGAAAACTCCATGCAGGAAGTCAGCATTCCAGGATTAGAACCTGGGACCTTCTTGCTGCAAGGCATCATAGCTTTGTTATAATAAATTGCTGTCAAATTAAATCAATAATGCATAGAAATAAAAATCAGTCTATGCTGAATGCATCAAGTAATTGAGTCATGCCTCCAGAGCAGGCATGTGGAGACAGTGCTGTGGAATAACTCTCTGCAACAATTTATGTACATTCTTTAAGCACTTGACTTTAGTCTCAGAAGTATTTATTCACATTTTAATGCAGGATTCCAGCTTAAGGCTCTTCGTCTGTTCTGTCAGCGTCATTCTGAATGTCTCCTACAATAAGCTCTGTTTTCTAATCAGTGGTTAACCTTTCATTAGTTAACATCTTAAATTAATGAAATGTTAACACTAACTTAGCCTTTAGGAACCAAGGCTAAGTTAGTGTTCTGGGGCCCCACAAAAAACATCTAGTTAATAAAGCAGCCCTGGTATAGACGGCACTTTGAAATTAAGATCAGCACCTGGATGGGGCTGTGTGATCTACATATGAGAGGTGCTAAACAATTCTGATTGGTTAAGTTTCCCCCAGCACTGAGAGTCAGCAGCTCTAGGACTGTCCAACTGTTCCTAACTGGGGTCATTTCCAAACACAAAAATAAATCCAGCAGAGTAACATTTTGTATTATAACTAGTATTGAACCGATACCGATACCAGTAGCGGGCGGGGCCCCGATCAAGCACTAAAATGGTGGTATTGGTATCGGCGAGTACAAACAAATAGGGCCCTGACACCCTTGTTTATAGATGCTGGAGATCGGCCTGTTTTCCAGTGCGGTCCTGTTTCTCTGACCGTGACTGGGTGGATGTGCTCTCTTCAACCTCTGATATGGGAGCTGGCTCGGAGCTGGTCTGCCTGGCTGTGTGTTTCCTGGGCGGGGCCGCCTTTTACAGCTGCTTTTTGTATCTCTGCTTCTGTCTCCTTGAACCCACGTCGGCCTCGGCAGATTGCACACTGAGCCTGGTTCTGCTGGAGGTTTCTTCCTGTTAAAAGGGAGTTTTTCCTCTCCACTGTCGCTACAAGCATGCTTAGTGTGAGGGATTGTATTTGAGTCAATGAGTCGATGCAATCGACTGGTTTTCCTTGGATAGAAAACTTTGTATCAATTTGACTGTATGATCTGGTTGAACTGTAAAGTGCCTTGAGATGACGTGTGTTGTGAATTTGGCACTATATAAATAAACTGAATTGAATTGAATTTTTAGAGCCAAAAGTTTATTCAACTATTGTCACCCATTCCAGGTAGGCAATAAAAAGTTCTACTAGATTCACTTTGTATTAGTCGTTTTCCTGCTTCACAAAGATAGGCAGCAGCTTGACAAAGCCATGATGGCCATTATTTTAAAAGTAGTATGCAGTTCTTCAAATATAAACACACACATTTCCTAGTCTGTGAGCTTTCTGTTGTGCTGCTTTTTTTAACCATATGAGCAATTCTAAAAACCCCTGGAGCTTTTAAACTGCCTCCATCTGAAAACTATTAAGTCCACTGTCCTCCAGGGAACAAATATAGTTTAAAATCTTTCCATAATACAAACCACTGCACAGTTTGATGGTTTTACTTCACAATAGCTTTGAAGAAATCATTGCTGGATTTTGTAACAATCAGCAGCTAGAATTTAGATATCTGAGAAGTGAACTATGTTGATTCTCTTGATATTAAGATGGTTTTTGGTCTTTCTGTGAAGTAGAAGATCTTAAGAATTTTAGATTATTTGCTTTTGAAAATAATTCCACTAAAAACGAATTCTGAAAAGTGTGGCGTGTATTTTCACCCAGTCTCCCTTTGCTCTGATACCACCAAATAAAATCCATTGCAACATAATTTAATTGAAAGAAAGCCTAAAGCCAGTAACCCTGTAGTGACATCACTAACATGTGAAAGAAGGTGTTTTGTAAAAATGAAACAGAAATGTTACTTTTCTTGGCCTACATGGGTTACAGAGACTGTCTATCTAATCTGACTTGGGTCAATTTATTTTGCAATAAAAAAAAAAGGCAGAAAATGTCAGTTTCAAAATCACTTTTCCTCTGCTTTATGTCCAGAAAGACAAATCTCCCAGATTTGCTCTTAAAGTCAAGTAAAAAGTTTAAAAGTTCACATTTTATATAAAAGGAACATATGCTGGTTTGTTAACAGATTACATGTCTGTGGCTTATTGTGAGATCACTAACCTGCACACAATAGGGCTGATTGCTGTGAGGTACAGTGTGTACAGTATCTAAAGCGGATAAGAGAGATTTATTGCGCTGCCTAACCAATCCTACCTTTCTTTTTTGCTGCCCAGTTTGTTTGCTGTGTACTGATCTCCGTAATCTATCAGATTTAGCTGCCTTGAGAAAACATTCACTCGATTCCCCACAAACAAGTCCTCTTGATGGATGTCGTCATATTTGGTCCTTTTTAAAAATATCCGTTGGTTTTTTACATCAAACTGAAAATGAAAGATGTTGGTAGTTAGTTGACAATGAAACATTCTTACTAAAGATTTAGGGAATAAAAAAAACAACAGATGTACCATCTCTACAGAGCCATCTTTGGGGTAGTATAACAGTTGGTAGCGCCGCACCAGGGCTGCTGTGGGATCACACCACTCGGTGAGAAAAGCATACCGGTCCTCCTGGAAAAGTTATGGTGATTTAGAGATGTGTGAAAAAAACAATAACCCTGCTACGCAAATGACATAAGGATAAGATTTTGCTGCAACTGCATAAACAACAAACATACTGTAAGATAAAGTTATAGAGGAAGCAGATATACAGGTGCTGGTCATAAAATTAGAATATCATGAAAAAGTAGATTGATTTCAGTAATTCCATTTAAAAAGTGAAACTTGTATATTATATTCATACATTACATACAAACTCATATATTTCAGATGTTTATTTTGTTTAATTTTGATGATTACAAATGACAACAAATGAAAATCTCAAATTCATCATATCAGAAAATTAGAATATTGTGAAAAGGTTCAAAATTGATGGCCCCTGGTGCCACACTCTAATCAGCTAATTAACTCAAACCACCTGCAAAAGCCTTTAAATGGTCTTTCAGTCTAGTTCTATAGGCTACACAATCATGGGGAAGACTGCTGACTTGACAGTTGTCCAAAAGACGACCATCGACACCTTGCACAAGGAGGGCAAGACACAAAAGGTCATCGCTAAAGAGGCTGGCTGTTCACAGAGCTCAGTGTCCAAGCACATTAATAGAGAGGCGAAGGGAAGGAAAAGATGTGGTCGAAAAAAGTGTACAAGCAAGAGAGATAACCGCACCCTGGAGAGGATTGTGAAACAAAACCCATTCAAAAATGTGGGGGAGATTCACAAAGAGTGGACTGCAGCTGGAGTGAGTGCTTCAAGAACCACCACACACAGACGTATGAAAGACATGGGTTTCTGCTGTCGCATTCCTTGTGTCAAGCCACTCTTGAACCACAGACAGCGTCAGAAGCGTCTTGCCTGGGCTAAAGAGAAACAGGACTGGACTGCTGGTGAGTGGTCCAAAGTCATGTTCTCTGATGAAAGTAAATTTTGCATTTCCTTTGGATATCAAGGTCCCAGAGTCTGGAGGAAAAGAAGAGAGGCACTTCATCCACGTTGCTTGAAGTCCAGTGTAAAGTTTCCACAGTCAGTGATGGTTTGGGGTGCCATGTCATCTGCTGGTGTTGGTCCATTGTGTTTTCTGAGGTCCAGGGTCAACGCAGCCACATACCAGGAAGTTTTAGAGCACTTCATGCTTCCTGCAGCTGACCAACTTTTTGGAGATGCAGATTTCATTTTCCAACAGGACTTGGCACCTGCACACAGTGCCAAAGCTACCAGTACCTGGTTGAAGGACCATGGTATCCCTGTTCTTAATTGGCCAGCAAACTCTCCTGACCTTAACCCCATAGAAAATCTATGGGGTATTGTGAAGAAGAAGATGCAATACACCAGACCCAACAATTCAGAAGAGCTAAAAGCCACTATTAGAGCAACCTGGGCTATCATAACACCTGAGCAGTGCCACAGACTGATCGACTCCATGCCACGCCGCATTGCTGCAGTAATACAGGCCAAAGGAGGCCCAACTAAATACTGAGTGCTGTACATGCTCATACTTTTCATGTTCATACTTTTCAGTTGGCCAACATTTCTATAAATCCTTTGTTTTTATTGGTCTTCAGTAATATTCTAATTTTCTGATATGATGAATTTGAGATTTTCATTTGTTGTCATTTGTAATCATCAAAATTAAACAAAATAAACATCTGAAATATATGAGTTTGTATGTAATGTATGAATATAATATACAAGTTTCACTTTTTAAATGGAATTACTGAAATCAATCTACTTTTTCATGATATTCTAATTTTATGACCAGCACCTGTAGACTGTAAGAATAATCAACTTTCATTCATTACAGTTTATCCTGCTCCACAGCATGCCGTCATGCAAATGTCTGCGTAATTTGCAAAATCCTGCTTGGGTTAAGTAACAGAAAGTCAACACCTGGTCTTTGTTAACCTTGCATGGCTTGACATATCTTGATTTGTGGTAGCAGGAATTGTGTTTTTTATTGTACTCCAGTGAAACTTTTATTAATCTGACAAAGAAATAAAAAAAGAAACCTTTGATTAAAAGCAGATGGTTTTATGTCACAACTTGCAGGAGAAAAATATAAACTCTATGGCAGAATACGAGAGGAAGATTTCCCATTAAGTAAAGCCAAAACTTTTCTAAAATGTTTCTGACAATCTCTTGCATCTAACAACTAATTAAGACCTGGCATTAGGGCTAAAATAATTAATTGTGACTAATGGATAATAAAAATATTGCCAACTCATTAGTAATCGAGTTTAATTGTTACCAAGAATAATGGTACAGACTCTAAAACATGCCCTTTGCTGAAAGAGTAAGCTGCTTACAGCAGTGATAAGCACAAAGCTCTACAAAAAGATATAAACGTTTTCCATTTAAGGTGCAAAATCTGCTTTCTATATATATATATATATATATATATATATATATATATATATATATATATATCATTACATATATGTGTATGCACACCGAATATTTTTAACATTTTGCCATTTATAAAAGAAAATGCACTAGAAAGATTTTCTTTTAATTTCCAAACATTTTTCTATTAAGAAATATTAATTCACTGAAAGTATTTCTTTTTAGATTGATCAAAATACATAATTGGCAACAGATTAATGGGTAAGAGGAAGAGTTGAGACCTGCAGCCCTACCTTTCATTCTTGAAATGATTAAAACTAATGAATTCAAAACTAATGAACTCAGAACTAATTCTGAATACTCTAAATTTTAGTTAAAAAAAAGAAGACCTAAATAAGCAAAGACTATTACAAGTGACCTTGACCTTGACTAGTGTATTTCTCCACTGTGAGATCAATAAAGTCAATCAATCAATCGACACACCTTGTGTCATAAGGAGGCATGGTTCATTTGTCTCCTCAGGTATGTGTGATGTTTTATCTCTTTATTAGCTCCTTAATGGGTTTGAAGGTCCTGCTAAAAATAAAGTGGCGTAAACACAAACGTACATGGACTACTTGTGTTGTACATCCTCAGGGAAATGACGGCCCTCATGGACCAACAAAATGTGTCAAGCAGTAATCTGTTCTCCCTGCTCCATCTTTTCTGAAAGTGCATTCTTTAAAGCATAAACTTGGCAGATAAGATAAATATTCATTAATCTGCTTCCAACATTCTCAGATAGCAGCTTCTTGATTCAGATTGCAGTTTTTGTTGTTTCCATCACACATTTCTGACATTTCGCATGTCATTGAGTTCACATTAAATCCACATCACTGAGATAATCTGTAACATACACCACTTTAATAAGTGGAAAGATGTATCATCGCCATCCTGCACGGACCACTACATATTAACCAGAACCTATCTGGACTGATGGGAAAAAAACAACAACAACAAATGTGTCTCCTTGTTCATTTCTCTATTCTGTAATGAGCCATGCAGCCACATGTATCATTGAAATGAGTTTACAGGGAACAAATAACATATATCTTTGTAACCCACAGTGTGTCACAACTTATGGTGCATTGCTCTTTTAAAAAGTGAGCTGTTATTGCATTGTTTTTGTGTTGTTATTGTGTGTTTAATGATTTCTTCCTGCATCAGAGAGCAGGAGACCCTAAAACAGATGAATACTGACAGATAAGTTTAGAAAAACTACAATGAGCGTACATATTGTTTAAATTCTATATACAATTCTAACCTATTATATAGCCAATAAAAAACTTTAACAAGTAAAATAATAGATAGTAACAGAATAGGTGAAATACTACAGTTTTTAATGAAGCATTGTTTGGCTATCAGCTATAACAGCATGTCATGATCAATACATTCGATGTTTCCATAGCCTGCTAGCATTTAGCTTCAATAAAGTGCACAAATATTAACAATTTTTAAGTCTAACGCTCTATATAATAAAATGCATCCCAGTTTGAATCATGGGGACTTAGCTATCACTTGCTATGGCTATGTTGCTAAGCTAACCTTAGATGACCACAGCATTTCCAGTTCGCTTACATTCTTATCAAACCACCAACTTTGCCTAGCGTTCTGAGAACAATTTTATAAAATCTCAAAGATGTAAACTCACCATTTAAAGAAGCTAAGTAAGCCTATAAGACCCGATACGCTTAACTGTCGCTTTTACCACAGGTTAGCTAGCGCAGGTTATGCTTCGTTTCTATAGTAACAGTGGCTTCCATTTGAGATGCGTTCACGGAACATTGTTGCTGAATGTGAATTTGTTGAAGGAAACCATATGCTGTATTTGTACGGGTCAAAATGTATAATTAGCCAATTAATTATTAAAACTCATTCTAAAACTTACACGGTTTTTCGTACATTACCTTTTTTTTTTTGCTTTGTGGGTCCGCATTGAATATTATCCGTCTCAAACTAATACAATTATTGTCTTTATCGCCATCTAGTGGTGAAAACCGATTCCTTTATTTTCAAACAATCCGATCGTCATGAAAGCACCAGTTAACCTTTCACCCGGAAAAACAACACAGTACAGACCTTTAAGCTCCTTCTTATAGAGAAATTAGTTATTTCAACAAACTGTTTTGTGCTTAACCATAATCCGCTCTTGTTTACAGGGTCTACCATGGGATCATCCGATAAATTAAAACGGTTCATACTCAGTAATGCTCCTCTCATCCTGGATGGTGGACTTGCAACTGAACTAGAAGCGCAAGGAGCTAAACTACAGGTGAATTAGAGGCTAAATTATAACAAACACCTGATCTAACATGAGTCCATTTAAAGGGGGTTTGTAAGGAGTTACACTGATTTTCTAAATATTCAAATTACAAGATGATGAAATTGTTTCAAATCATCATAATTAATATAGCCTATGCATGGAAATTTATGTTTGATGTTTTCTTGCAGCTTCTCAAACCTTTAAACTATTCGGTTTAATTTGTTCACTGGAAAAATAATCTATAAATAAGAAACAATTTCTTAAATTAAGTGTATTTACCCTTAATGTGAATAGGTAATGAGATGATTTGCCAATGGAATTAGTATTTTTACTCTTAAAATAAGATTATTAGATAATATGCACTTAAAATAAGACAAAGCAATTGTGTTTTCTTATTTTAAGTGTAAATTGTCTTGATCCATTGGCAAAATGTCTCTTTTACCTCCTCAATCCTAGAACAAATGCACTTATTAAAAAAAAAAAAAAAAAGACTTTTCTAGATTTTGATATTTTCCAGTGTTGTGATTTTGCAGCCATTTAAAATATTTAAAAGTTAGTTTTATATTAAAGTAGTTGTAGCAAACAATGTGTCCTTTCACTAATCTATTAGAGGGCTCTGATTAGGCTTCTGATGGCACATTATTCGCATCCACAAGAAGGAACTAATAGGTATGTTGTTGGTTCTCATTCCCATTCATTCAGCACTTTGCAAAGTATTGCAACCTTTTGCAAGTTTCTTCTGTACGAATGCTGATTTATTAATCGTAAATACATGATAAATGATCGTATTTGAAATATGGAATGAAAATTATACATGATTATTAAATTTGTGTCAATCAGATCTGATATATTCCAGCCAAGGAGGTTATGTTTTTAGTCAAGTTTGTCTGTGCAGCATTAGTTGAAAAGCTTGAAAATTTTGACATTTTTTTTTTGATAATCCGGCTGCAGGATTTGTTTTTAAATATCCTTTAACATTATTTTAACATTATTTCCCCCCTAAACCAGAGGATGGCAGCAGTGACTATTGCAGTTGGACAGCAATGCATTTACTATGCAGTGTTACAGATCAAATAAAGTGTCCTATATGTAAAGGATAAGTTGGCTGTTCCCATCAAGAAAACGGAACTTGAACTTCAAATTCATGCAATTAAAAGATCACAACTAATTCAAAACTCTAACTTCATCAATTGTTTAATTCAATAACAGCTTTTTCTTGTGCTCCTGCAGGCTGTACAGGTAGGGTTTGAGATGTATTTATTTATTTGACAGGGACAGTGTACATTAATAAACATTCCTGCAAATGCACCAGAATTAGCCAAAAGTCTCATTTTCATCTGTTGTCCCAGGACAGATCTTAAAATTATCTACCTAAAAAACACAACAGTAAGTATTTTACAATGAAAAATACAAATATAAAAAGAAATTAAAACAGCTGTAACTCTTGCCAGGTTGCCAGATACTGGGCCATATTTCCACCGTAAAATGAATTATTAGGATAAATTACTAATCAGGAGCTCAGAGGAGATAACATTAAAAATCAGGAGTCTCCAGCCTGGATGGGGAGAGTTTGAAAGTATGTTTATGCCTTAAGTTACTTTTAATAAGTAATCGGTTGTTTGTCCAAAAGACTCCCACAACCTTCAAATTAAACATTAGTTTACAAAAAATATTCATTTGTAAATATAAACCTTGTAAAAAAATAAAAACACATCTGCGCTAAATCTGTGGCAGATGATTGTTTGAGAAGTCCAGCTCCTCTTAGCATAGGAAAGCAGTGTTACAAAGTTATAGCCTGGATCTCCTAATCTCTGACAAGTGATGGCTGAAAGCAGAACCTATATTTAAAAAATGTCTTTGTTTCTTTGAAGCAGAAATTCAATTAAAAAGGTTTTTCTTGATCCCAAAGGGAAATTAGATAAAATGACACAGTAAACTGTTTTTTTTTTTTTTAGGTTAAGGAGTCCTGCCTAGGGCTTTACTCTGGAAAAAAAATCTAAATCTAGAGAATTTGTTCTTGGATTAAGGAGATAAAAGAGACATTTTGCCAATGGAACAAGAGAATTCACACTTAGAATAAGAAAACACAATTGCATTGTCTTATTGCAAGTGCATGTTATCTAATTATCCTATTTTAAGAATAAAAATACTAATTCCATTGGCAAATCATCTGATTTACCTGCTCAAATTTAGGGTAATTACACCTAATGTAAGAAATTTTTACATATTTCTAGATCATTTTTCCAGTGTAGCACCTCATCTGATCTTTATTTTAATTTCTTCTTTTATTTTAGTCTGAACCAATACTGTAAAAATAAACAAACCCTTTAGTACAGAATACAGTTTTTATTAACTAAATATTTTTTTAAATTTTAAAATTATCCACATAACAAGGTAGGATAACTGGAGCTTGTGCGTTCTGAACTGAGTATTTCAGTATTTAACTGTCAGCCTAACATGCATAGATTTTCAAAGCTAGATTGAAATGTGTCTCTGCGTCTGTAGGGGGATCCTTTATGGAGCGCCAGGCTTTTGCACACTGATCCTCAGGCCATCAAAGAGGCTCATCACAGGTAGGTTTATAGAAAACTTTAGAACTGAACGAAAAGCAGCAGATTGCACTGGGAAATTAGATCTAAAAATAAGTAGAAATTTCCCTGGAATGAGGATTTTAGATTTTATTCACATTAAAATAGATAATGGAGTTATTTATTTTCTTTGTATAAACTTATTACATTGGTAAATTGTCTTACCTAACTGTTTTAAAAGAAGGTAAAATCGCTTATTTCAAGAAGAAAAAGGACTGGCTAATTGGATTAGATGTTGCTGCTTTTCTTGCTCCACAAAGGGAATACAGGAGTTGTGAATCATGGAAGTTTTTCAGAAAAAGTTTTTCACCACTGTAAAAAAAAGATGAATTTATACCAAATAATAACTGACTTATTTATTCAGTGAATCTACAAAAAAACAAACAGTTTATAAAGAAAAGATCCACCTGTCTCTCATTAAAAGACTGTCAAACACCCACAGGTTCCTGCTCAGTGGTGCTGATGTCATCACCACGGCAACGTACCAGGCAAGCATCCAGGGATTCATCCAGCACCTGGGGTTGAGCTCAGAGCAGGCCAGAGAGCTGCTGATGTCTGGAGTTTATCTGGCAGAGGAGACGGTGAAAGCTTTCGTGTCCGGTAGCGAACCTCGTGCGTTTGGAGACGTTTGAAAAGGGAGCCGATTGAATCTGTGAGACTCTTTGTTTGTTCCTCTAAGGGGAGAGGCGGGTGTTGGTGGCGGGCTCGGTTGGACCGTACGGAGCCTTTCTCCATGATGGATCAGAGTACTCCGGGGCTTATGCTCAGGAGATGAGCATTGATGTGAGTGGCTTCTGGCTTTGCTGTAGCATTACTGCAACTTTGGGCTTTCTTAGGTTTTATATTAAAACTGCAAACTTTCTTTAAAGATCTAATGTGATCAAACAGATCACATAGAAGTAGAAATAAAATTATATTTTGGTTTTAAATCATTTTTACAAATGGAAATATTATTTTTCCTTGTCTTAAGGAAGTAAGACAATTTAATAATAGAATAAGATGCTTTATGTTTAAAATTAGAAAAAGAATCTCATTTCAAGTGAATCAGATCTAATCTAATGCTAATAGCTGCTATTTGGCCTGTTGCATTACCTTTTCAAATTAAGGATTATCACACTTATTTAAAGAAATGTTAACTTAATTCCAGATCCTTTTTTGCAGCGTTGTGATCCCCATTGAGTCAATGTCATGTTTAATTGCACATCTGGACGAAACATTTTTTGCCAGATGTTCTGTGTTAAATGGATTGATGTATGAACTTTGACTATGCCACTCTATCACCTGAATATTCAACATGAACCCTTCCACTGTCGCTCTGCACTGCAAAAATCTAAGTCTTTTTTTCTTGAAAGAAATTATTTTTTCATGAATTGAGGAGGAGAGGGAGATACTTTGCCACTGGAATAAGACCATTTACATTTAAAATAAGAAGAAAACAACTGCATTGTCTCATTTTAAGTGCATATTATCTAATTATTTTATTTTAAGAGTAAAAATACTCCTTCCATTGGCAGATCACCTTATTTACTTTCTCAAATTAAGGGTAAATATGTCCAGGGCCATTTTCCGTTCCCCGGTCTTTTCCAGCCGCTAATAGTTTTTCTCCTGTATGTATTTATCTGTAATCAGTTCATTGTCCCATCAGTTCTGACCAGCCTCACTGCAACTGCTGGAGAAAAAAGCACCCCTTAGATTTATGCTGCAACCACCATTTTTAATCACTAGGTGTAGGAAAATGTAAAATGATTTAATCCTTGCCTTCCAGTTCCAATAATCTGACACATAAAACCTCAATTTACTCTTTTACTTAATTTAACAAAATGTGAAGAAGTTAATTGCAGAAAATTGAAATCTAAATAAGTAATTTTTTCTTAAAATACGTGCATTTTTCTTGAATTGAGCAGGTAGGTACAACACTTTGCCAATGAAATAAGACAATTTACATTTAAAATAGG